GATGTGTGCATCACATTTTATGGAGGACTGTTTCCTGATCCTGGGAGAGTAGACTACAATGCGTCTGTGGCACAAAGGCTGTTTCTATAAAGTGTCTCACTGACTCACAGCCTGTAAGTACGTTTTTTATATTTAAAGAATTTGCCACTGATGATGGGGACGCGAGTTTTGAGCAGTGTAGAGTAGGCTTGTAGTTTGTCATTTCTCTGATCACAAATGCAGACATGGTTTTATGTTTACGCGGCGCGATCTAATAATAAAAGGCAGCAGTAGGAGTACAGATATAGTCAGTGAATATTATAGATATATGGACAAAGATAGTATTCAAATTTTTACAGATGGATCAAAGGATTTACAAACAGAGGCAACGGGATCTGCTGTATATATATCCCTAGATATCACGTGGGAGTAAACAAAAGAACATCTGACAGCTTATGTGTGTATACAGTCGAGTTATATGCTGTATTAATAGCATTAGAATGGATTGAACAATCCAGATGGGACAACGTTGTAATATGTAGTGATTCTGTATCTGCCCTCATGAGTATAAAGTCTGGGGTAACTAGAAACCATCAGAAATTACTTTATGAGATTTTATTTTCAAACTCAAGAATAAGCAGCCAAGGGAAAAACATCACATACATGTGGGTGCCAGCGCATGTGGGCATCCAGGGAAATGAGAAAGTAGACAGACTGGCAAAAGAAGCAACAACAAAAAGAACATGTTGATATCAAAATTAAATGATCAAAAACAGACGGGAAGAGTTTAGTGTGGAAAAAGAATGCAAAGATGGTAGCAGCAGTGGGATAATGATATCAAAGGGAGACATCGAAATAAGCCATAATTTTGTTTTATTTGTAACTCTTTGGTAGATACATTTACAATTTCTATCACATTACTACTACTACTGTTACTACTAATAAAACAGATCTCTGGGGGCCCCAAAAGTGCGTGGCCCTTAGAATCGTCCTAACTTTCCTCCCTTAGCAGCGCCCCTGGTGGAGTAAAATGGGGTTGAGTGGTCTAACCATATCTCACCTCATCTGCGAATGTCTCTCATCAATCATCAAACTGAATCTCTGCAGGTCTGTCTGAATCATGAGAAACTGGAAATCACAAACACAAACATCTGATTATTTTCATACGGTTCATATGGATAAATGTTCAGGATCAGTTTTACTAGTGGTAAAACTAGTCAAGACATTTGAAGCAGGAACCAATCACTGATATTTTAACAGATTTACCAATCACCACTATTTTATTTTTAAAAGATCAGATCAAGACTTTAAGCTCTTAAGTGTCCCCTGCCACACTTTTAGAGTTAATATGCTGCACAAAATGTTTTTCAATTTAAAACAGTGGCTGAAGGGAGCACGTGTGAAATTCAGATAATCATGAAACAGTTGATGATGAAAGACATGTAGGTACTGTCACACTGTCATATATTAAAGACAGTGGCCCCCACGCACTGCTGGGGGCCCCGCGATAACCTCCCCGTGCTGAGTTGCGTCGTATATGTGTCGAAGATAGCCAGGGATGAAAAATTGGCAATATTAAGAGGATTTAGCATTTCCAATTAATGTAGGCCTGTTACATTCTTATTATTATTAGGCCTATTTGGGTGAAAAAAGTGACAAAAATAAATTGGGGGAAAGACATCTCCCCCAATTTAAACAAATTTTTTAAACACATAATACTTTACACTGTTTATTATTTTTTTTAACTCTATAGTTGTGCAGTAAAATTCACTTTAAAGATTCACATTTCATTCATGAAGATGAGATTAAATAAATTTGTCTCCTGGTGGAAAACAAAGACTGATGAAAATGACATGAAATTACCTTTAATATCCAGTTGATGGCAGCAGATGATCACTCATTAGCTCTGTTGCCATTTCCACTCCCCTTTTTTTTTTTTTTCTCACGACTTGCTTTTGGATTTATTACAAAATGACTATGAAATATAGCCAGAGCAGGAGGTCAAAGTTTAAAGTCTCATGTCATTTAAAAAATAAGTAAACAAATAAGCCCAGACACCAACAGCAGAAGGGTTAATTATTTAAATACTTAACTATTTAAATACTAAATTAAGTTCATTTTAATGGTAATAATGCATTAAATATTTAGACATTTTTAAGATTTAATTCACGATAACCTCCCTGTGCTGAGTTGCGGCGTATCATGTGTCAACTATTGCCAGAGATATTGTCAAAAGCATCAAAAATTGGCAATATTAAGAGGATTTAGCATTTCCAATTAATGTAGGCCTGTTACATTCTTATTATTATTAGGCCTATTATTATTATTAGGTTACATTTATTATTAAATGACAATTAATTTGCCCCGCAATAATTTCATAGCGCATCACTGCATGACACGCTGTGAGGATAAATAAAGCTATTATAGGAATATTAAGGGAATAATCTAAGACCGTTATATACCATCAGCATATGCTGAAGTAGATTCGTCTCTTGTTGTCTCTGAGAGAATATGCGTCGTTAATGCAGCGTCAGATGCCCAAAGCGCCGTCAGTTTTCACTTTCTGTATAGTGAATTGGCTGAGATTAAAGGGGTCATATGATGCGATTTCAATTCCCGACAGGACTATGTGATGAATGTCAGGAGGAGGAATCAATTAAGTGCTTTAATTATGCGCTTTAATTATGTACATGCGTGTAGGTTAAGTACATGTGTCACACAGCGGCTCCGTTGTAGGTTACATACGTGCATCTCAGTTCACAGTAAATGCTGCTCCACACGAACTGTTATCATTTACATGCGTGTGAGTTTGGGTTTATTATAACGTTCATCTGGGAATGCAATGTGCGCCATTTCATCAGATTTGTAAGGTAAATAATTTATAAATCTACGCAAACTCAGGAGAATACATCGCGGTTTCAAAATAAAAGCTCACACCCTCACTCTGAGTTTACATGTTTTGATGTCCACATATTCTTTTGGCTATAGAATTTCTGTCCTAAAGAAATGGCCAAATATTAAATATTAAGTGGACATTGAATGAAATGGTGCTTGGTCAATATTAAACAAGTATTAGATCGCACAGCAATGTGTAAAAATAATCATCAGACCGTTGGCGCCCTCTGCAGGCCTTTGTTGTAATGCGTAATGTACATTAGCTCTATTGTTTATAAAACAATAAAATGATATGAATTCTTTCTTTTCATACTTTATTTGAACTAATTATTATTGCCTCATTGCTATTATATATGTATTTTAAGTAATTTTAAAGGCTATTGTTCACTTACATCTATTTTTATTACCACAAAAAAATGAATTATAATTATAGAGCCCTATGAAATCCGTTCTATTTCCAAATTCAGTTTCGTTCCATTTTCATTTTTCTATACCCGGTTTTAATGGTTAAATTAAATTGTATTAATCAAAAAGCCTGTCTAATTAATTGATTGATTAATTGTTTTACAGTTTTATCTTTACCAAATTCTGTTTTCCATTATTTTTTGGATTCCATTTTAATGGTTCCATTAAATTTTAATAATCAAAAGCATCTCCAATTAATTGATTTTATTTATACATTATGTATTTTAACAGTTTTGTTCAATAAAACCATGATTTCTTGCTTTTGATACTTTATTTGACCCAATTATTATTGCCTCATTGCTATTATATATGTATTTTAAGTCATTTTAAAGGCTATTGTTCACTTACATCTATTTTTATTACCACAAAAAAATGAATTATAATTATAGAGCCCTATGAAATCCGTTCTATTTCCAAATTCAGTTTCGTTCCATTTTCATTTTTCTATACCCGGTTTTAATGGTTAAATTAAATTGTATTAATCAAAAAGTCTAATTGAGTTTTACAGTTTTAATAAATTCTGGTAAATAACATTTCTGGTAAATACTCCTTTAAAAAGTGTTTTTTGATTATAATTTTATTAGTAGTAGACTAGAACACGTGGATATGTTGTCATTCTTACACTACAATACTGAACTTTGATTTCAGTGATTTGGACTCTGAGATGGATGCACTTTACTTTTGCTTTAAAAAAAGGAAAATGTTCATAGAAATTTGGATTTCATTTGGTTTACTAAAATATAGTTTAATCAAATATTCTTAAGTAAAACTGTTGCATTTTTTTGTGGGAAATGAATCTTTTACATTACATTACATTGCCTTCCTGGTTTAAAACATAAATATTCCCAATACTGCGACGCAATAACCCTCCCAACCCCTCGGACGGGTTTTTCTGCGTTTTTTCCCTGCGCCACTGATTAAAGATCATAAACACTCACAGTTTGGTGTTTCTCTATTAATGCTGCTCCGTCTGACTCGTTTCTTGCTCTGTTTCTCTTCTGTGTCTCGTCCTCTTTGCTGGTCATTTCATTTCTGTTGCAAAATGTACTATTTAGAGTTAAAAATGAAGTTTGATAATTATTTATTTATTTTGCACAATGATTCTTGTGCAATACAAATTTACATTGCCGTGTTAAAAAAAATAATAAAGTGTTAAAGATACATTTTAATGAATTAGATGTTAATTACCACTGATGAGCTGGAACGAGTCGGTCTCCACTGCTGCTCTGAGATCTGCTGTATCTGAGATTGAGTGCTTTATACACACTCACCAGTTCACCAAAACCACAAAGTCAGGAACCTGACAGCCCATGTTTCCTGTGTGAGCGAGTCTGACCGTCGACGTTTCCCGTTTGAACGTCATACCCACACATTAGGCACATTTTTTTTTAAATGACACCAAACTGCAAAACGCAAATAGTACTCGTGTAAAAGTGTGAAGCGGCGCTACGCAATGCATCGCCAGCCGCGCGCAAAAGCAGAGCGGATCAGTCTCCCGCACAGCGCTGCGCTTGCGCCACAATGTAAAGTGATAAACAGCGCGAGCGCTTCATCCATTCAGATGTGACACAGAATTACTGTTATAGTCGTGTGATATATATGAGAACATTAAAGGTTCTGTAGTGATGCTGGCTGAAAACAGCCACGATAATGTAAACTGCATGAAGAGGTAAACTGGAAAACGCCAATACATAGGCTTGTCAATTCTCATATTAGGTCCGACGCTGCTAAATGCGTAAAATTAACCGAACTCTTTTCAAAAGGTTTAAATTCAGCACAAGTCATTATCACACTACTTCTGCCAGTTAGCTCCTGTTTTTTTTTTTTTTTTTTTACAGTAGCCTACATTGTATTATACAGTTGTAAGCTTAGCATAGAACCCCAGTATATTTTAAAATGTCATTGCTTCGTGATAATTGGTTAACTTAAGTGTTAATGAGCCTGTTACTGAATTGCGTGACTGAAATATCAGCAGATACAGTGGGATTTAGGGTAAACACTGATGTAGGCTACTTGCAATATAGTCTAACACATCAAAAACCTGTAGCAATAGCCATAGTACTGTAGACATTTGTAGTGAACTTTTCTTTGAATATGTAGATAGCCATATATTAAAATAAAACATTGAGCACGCGTACAGTACATAAGTTTACAGTATGCAATTAATCCTTAGGTGGGGTGGACTGCAGAGTCAAGTGTCATTGAGGTAGACAAAATGAGAGAGACACACCCTGATGCAGATGCTAACACAAATGTAAGTACCGAATGTGTGTGTCCGTGGGTGGGGCTGTGTGGTGTGGCATTTTTTGAATTTTTTTCCCAGTCCGCCCCTGAATGTAGCTTTAGCTTCTATGTTACTAATAAAATCCCCAGAGCAGCACTGACAACACATTTCTGTACAATTGAAACAATCTTACATACACTTTTAAATATACTCATCATCATACATAGAAAATACACGTATTAGTTATTTAAAATATAAGATCAATATATAATGAATATATACAAAATGTATTTATAATGTATTGCCCACATATTTTTATAGATTAAATAATCTATTTCAAATGTATCGTAATTATGTTAACATTCCCTTTATATGATATACTTAATTACATGTTTATGGTGTCTTTGAATAGTACAATCAAGTACACTATTACTATGTCATTATAGTAGCACTTTTTCAACATTAAAATATAGCACTTAAAGTACTTTATGCTAAAAGTATACTTACTGTTAAATTGTGAATTTTGGTACACATCTAAACACATATGAATGAAAAATGCAATCGTGCTATTAGTGCATTTATAGTAGCCTAAGCACAGGCTTAAACCTGATTGGTGTGTCTACAATTTAGCAATCATGTGTTTGTGCACCTGATGGCTGTGTTTAACAGATTGGCTCATAGGTGTGGTAATTTGACAGTCAGTGCTTTGGAATTGCAAGGAAGTGACATCATGATATACTTCTGTGTCTGATGTATACAAGTGTGTTTAGTGTTTTGCAAATCACTGTGTGTAATGTTTTGCAAATAGTGTGAAGCTGACAATGTGCTTACAGTTGTGCAAATCTAGCCTTGTGTTTTGCTCCTTGAGTGTAAGGTTTTGCTAATTGTTGGAAAAGTTTAATTTTAGTGTGTAAGCAATCGTAAAAAACTGTAAAAAGCGTTTGTAGCACACTTTAGACAAATGCAATTTTATAACAATTTATCTGACTACACTTAAAATCAATTGAAGTGTTAGTGCTTATTAAATGTATTTATATTAAGTGTACTTAAATAGCACAGTTAGGAAAATACTTATAATTATTTCATTACTAACGTATGTTAAATAAACTAAAAATTAACTAAAATCCATTTAAATATCAGTGGTGTTTAGTATAATTTTGCAATTGCACTGAAGTGCTACTGAAGTAGAAATATACTTTTGATTAGTGTATTTACAGTGTATAACTTTTACAATTTTATTTAGAAAAAAAATAAGAATGTACTACAAATGTACTTGCTGGTATTACATTTTTTAGTGCATTCAAGTATACTTTATTTTTACGTGGTTGTGTCAGTACTGTTTTATTTGCATTTTTTTGAATTAGTTTCATTTTCATAAATCATGTTTATTGTGTTAGCTGTATTTTTTTAGTTATTATTTAATCAAAACAAAGCATCTGCAGTTTGATTGATATTAATTGGAATGCAGGATATAAAAAACATGATTTTTGAATTATCTAGCAATGAACTAGCAAATGAACTCGTAGGCTATGTGTGTGTGTGTGTGTGTGTGTGTGTGTGTGTGTGTGTAAGGGAGAGAGATTGGGAGAAAGAGAGTATGTGCTTTCCGTAGGCTACATAATAAAACATAACTTATCCTATGGTTTTGGTTATTTTGCTGTTGTAGGCTGAAAGGACTTCTGAAATAACTGAAATTGTTGAATTGATATGGAGAGAATCTGGCTCAAGACGTGCCTGGAACTACTTAAGTCGTGCATTTCCTTGAAGTGCATTTTTCACAGCAGTAACTTATATTATGTGTGTATGAATTTTGAAGAATTGTGCTCTGTTGCTGAGGGGTGTGTCTCCCTCTGTGTGGAGTGAAAATGTCACAAGATCCTAACAAGCCAAAATGTATTTAATGTTTTTACACCTGATTTGAAGACTTCTTTGTTTTTGGTCTGGGTATAAGAGAATTGACAATATTGTCATTTTTGGATTGTAACCGGAAAACTCAGACGCAGTGCGCAAGTCTTTGAAGTTGGGGATTCTGTAACCACAGCAATACTGCAGCTGTGTTTCTGTCACGCATCTCTCACTCTTAGATTCATCTTTGAGCAATTGATGTTATGTAGCTAGTATTTATCTGAACTGGAACTGAACCTTATTCTGAATTGGATTCTCACTGTTTAATTATGTAATTGGCATGATACATTCTACCTGACAAATAAAATGTAATATTTGATTTGTTGTGAACTCCTCTGAAATTATTATGACTAGCAGATCATGTGGAGGCTCATGCTAATTCAAATCTACGGCCAGGATAGTAAAAACTGAAGGCGCCTGGATGAATGGAGCAGTAGGCACTTCATCTGAGATCTTTTTTGATTTCTGTCTATCGCTGATTTAGCACGTTGTATGGGAAGTTACTAAGTTAACTACACTTTTTATCCAAAGCAAGCAGTAGATGGCAGATTTAATATTAGTCAACCTCCTCTGACTAACTAAGATCAGAACTGGCGAGTTTGTGGTCGTGAAATCTTCTAAAGGGGAACAGGAGACTCAAATGCAGCATCGGGTCCCTGACAAAGGAATAATTGAAAGTATAGGATATTCAAAATAAACAAATATCTAAATTAATACATAATCGATATTTGTGATCAGAAATACAGTCTAAATTTAATGATCACTTGAAATTGGAGTCAGATTAAACACAGAGCTAGAATAAAATTGAAACTAAATCCTGATAAATTAAGGGAACTTTGCAGAAGACGCAGAATACCTTCAAGGAGACCACTGGACTTCACTCTTGGACCGGCGGGTGGATCCTTATCCTGTATTTGATGCTTATCTTCTTCTTCTTCTTGTTTTGTGATTTTTTATGGTATTGGAAGTACTTTAATAAGAAACAGATCATGATTTGTTTTAGATTTAAAACAGAAGGTTTAAAATTGTTATCAAATATTCTAATCACTTTTCGAGTGGTTTCACAATGCTGTCTATAAGATCAATCAGCCATAATAATCCCACATCTTGTCCTGATCTTTGACTCTTTTACTTGCTATTTTACATTGAAATGTAACTAATATTCAGCACAGAACACAACATACAGTACATAAAAACCCTTATGTGACTGCGCAGAAGAAGTGCTTGTATGAAATAAATATTGATGACTGATGTATCAGATGATATTTTTATATGAATATATTTTTGAATATAAATATCAGCCAGTAACGGTCCATCTGTCTGACTAAAAGTGCTCTCATCCCTTCCACGTGTCATTCAGCAACATAGTGATAATGCTAGTGTATATTTTATTTCAGTCATTTGTAAATAATTTCTCAGTTAAATTTCAACATCAGCATTATATCAGCCGTGAGTCAGAGGATCTGCAGATATCAGGGTTTGTATCAGTCACTGTAAGATCTGGTGGTTTTTCAGTTAAGTATACTGCAGTTGTTATACTTATATACATGAGGAGCAAGTTCTTGCTCTGCATTGATATTTATGATAACAGAACTGTTAAACTGTGGCACAAACAACACACAAACTTCAGGCAAAACCAAGCCTTCTCAGTTTGGCATGTTTCCTGCTCTTAGAATAGAGGCCCTTTGCTGTTTGCAGAATATCAGAGGAGACTTGCTAGCATTAGAATCAAATCCTTTCAGAATATCAGTCTTTCTGTTTTAGAACCAAAGCCCTTTTCTTTCATAATGTGCGTCTTCTCATGAAGTGATAAAAATCTGCATTCTGAACCGTCCACATCAGCAGAGGTCTCAGAGTTGTGATGGATGTTTCTTCTCTTCAGCTCAACACAAGGTGATTA